CAGATTATGTCCGCTCCAGACTTGATAAATTCCCCCTTTGTAGTTTTATAATCTTCTCACATTCAGTTGTAATAAAAATTATTGAACCACCATCGCAAATCAAGTTTATTGGCAACATTTCAATGAACAATTCAAACAAAAGCAATTGAAATAGGTCAACACAATGAATATTTCAAGTAGTTTCCGCAAATTCAAATGAAAATGCATCTTTTAATGACTTCTGCAGTCTCAGGATGATTGGAGTACTATGGGGTCAGTGCTTTTCCCCATAGTTCTCCTAAGGGTAATGGGAGGACACAAACTGGCATCCTCCCGTCACCCAAAGCTCAGTATATCGCGAGCTAAAACTCGCGGTATACTGAGACGCCGCAGCCGGAACAGATCCTGACAATGCTGTCTGGATCCACCCAGCTGTGTGAGTGACAGCTGGCCCTGCCTATCTAGAGACAGAGCCAGCTGTACCCGCCCCCTCCCCTGTCCGTTCCGCCAGTCAGTGCTGGATAATCGGAGCGGGGAGGGGAGGGTGGAATCCATGCAGAGAGCCGTGAGCGACAGTCACGGCTCTCTGCACGGCTAGATCGAGAAGTGAGCGAGCGCCGGTATGTGTTCGCTCACTTCCCGATCTACTGAGCTGACCTGTGACAGTTTCATTGTCACAGGTTGGCTCAGATTATGAGGCTGAGTGAAAATCACTTGCCTCATAATTCTCCTTTAACCCCCAAAAAGAATCCTCACAAGAGCACACGGTCGCCGCTGCGGCGATCACACCTGTGCAGAGCCGCCTCTCAGCGCTGGCAGGGATCCTTTTGATGAGGTGAAATGTCTGGCGCCCCGTGCCCCTTCCCCACCAGGAAATTCTCGCCTGCGATCCCCCCTCCCCCAGCTACCTTTCTCTTCCTGCCGCCAGAGATCCTCTCAGGAGACAGTGAGGGGAGAGCTGCACTCGCAGCCCTTCCTCTCATCTGTCACAGGAGTTCTAGTACAGTGCTGTGCTAGAACTCCTGTGTTGGAGGTGACAGGTTCAATAAAGAGAACCTGTCACCTCCATACGCTATCACACAGGAGCTAACAAGTGATAGCAATAAAGTTAAGTTAAAAAAAAAATATTAAAAAAAATTGATAAATAGAAATTATGAAAAAAAAAAGTAAAAAATAATAATAAACATGATAAAAAGTAAAAGATAGTAAGATTAAAAAATAAAAAAGTAACAAATAATAAGAAAACATTTATAACAAATAAAAAAATAAGATAAAAAATTATAAAAAAGTAAAAGATAATCAGATAAATAAATATTTAAAAAAGTAAAAAAAATGTAAAAAAATTAAAAAGGGAAAAAAAAGTTGAAATTTTTTTTTTTTGAAAAGGGGCACCAAAAAGGAAATTTAAAAACCAAAATGAGAAATGAACAATTCAAACAAAAGCAATTGAAATAGGTCAACACAATGAATAGTTCAAATGGTTTCCCCAAATTCAAATGAAAATGCATCTTTTAATGACTTCTGCAGTCTCAGGATGATTTAACCCCCAAATAGAATCCCTCACAAGAGCACACCTCTGCAACACAGGTGTTGTCTGAAACACCTGATGCATCTAATTAAGTGCTTAATTAGTTGCACCAGGTTTATTTGAGCTAGAACACCTGAAATACCTGAACCGGCTAGGGGTTTGTTGATTGTGACGTTTTGCACGTTAAAAATATAGCTAAGTCAAAAGAATGGTCAAGAAAGTTAAAAGAAGAGACCATCGTCCTGCACAAACAAGGAACAGGATAAAAAAAGAGGTAGCGAAGGCATTGAATGTTCCTAGAGACATCATTGGAAGCATAGTTTGCAAGATCAAATTTAAAGAAAGAGTGGTTAAACTACCTGGATGGGGCAGAAAAAGGAAGCTATCAATGGTTGCAAGCAGATTTCTGAGAAGGCAGGTTGAGATAAACCCGTGAGTGACTGCAAAAGACCTGCAGCTAGACTTGGTGGCAACAGGCACTGAAGCCCCATGGATCAACGACATGTCTGGAGGAAGAAGAATGCAGCATACGCTAAAATGAAGCTCTGCCTAAGTTTGGTGATGCTTTGTGGCTGCTTTGTATCTTCTGGCACTTGAAATCTTCAGCATATGGAAGGCAAGATGGATTAATTGAATTATCAGGAAATCATAGGAGAAAATGCCATGCTTTCTGTGAGGAAGCTGGAGCTTGGGCATCATTGGACTTTCCAAAAGGACAATGATCCCAAGTATGCCTCAAATTCCACCAAGGCTTAGCGCAGAAGAAGTCCTGGAAGATTCTACATAGGCCATCACAGCCAGCTTACTTGAACCCCATAGTCAAGAACCCCAAAATCTCTGGTGGGATTTGAAGAAGGCGGTTGCAGCATGCAAACACAAGAACATTGGTGAACTGGAGGCCATTGCTCATGAGGAATATGCTAAGATTGCTTGGGAACACTGCGAGAAGCTTGTGTCTGGCTATGCATCTCATTTGCAGCAGGTTATAACAGCAAAAGGGTGCTCTATTAAGTACTAAAGATGCTTGCCATAAGGAGTAGAATAATTTTGAGACTGCAGAAGTAATTAAAAGCTGCATTTTCTGTTGCATTTGAGTAAACCACTTGGACATTCGTTGTGTTGACCTATTTTAATTGCTTTTGTCTGATTTGTTTATTGCGAACAACTGAAAATGTGTACATTTTACCAATTAACCTGATTTGCAATGGGGGTTGAATAATTTTGATTATAACCATTGATAACTTCCTTTTTCTGCCCCATCCAGGTAGTGTAACCACTCTTTCTTTAAATTTGTACTTGCAAGCTATGCTTCCAATGATGTCTCTAGGAACATTCAGTGCCTTCGCTACCTCTTTTTTTATCCTGTTCCTTGTCTGTGCAAGGAACAGGATAAGTTAAGAGAAGAGGCGATAGTCTCTTCTCTTATCTTTCTTGATCATTCTTTTGACTAAAGGTGGCCATACACCTGCCGATTATCGTACGATAATCACGGGAAATCCCGCGATCATACGATAATTGGCAGGTGTATGGAAGGCGTGCCACCGTTTCTACTGTACGGTCGCACGTCTTTTGTCTTACGAACATGTTGGAAAACCAGCCGAAGATCTTAAGAATTTCGGTGGGTTTGTGGCGTGCTCGTAAGACAAATGCTGCACGGGCCGGTGTGCGCAAGCGCACACTGCCCGGTCGGCATTGCAGTCATCGGAAGCGCTCCCCTCAGTGGGGCGGGCTTGCGATGATCGCAAGTACAATCTGCCTGTCCAAGATGGGCAAATCGTACAAACTTTTAATTAGCGTACAATCATCGCAAGACAAAGTCGTACGATGGTTGTAAATTGTATGGCCAGCTTTAGCTATATTTTTAAGGTGCAAAACGTGACAATCGACAAACCCCTAGCCGGTTCAGGTATTTCAGGTGTTCTAGCTCAAGCAAACCTGGTGCAACTAATGACGCCCTTAATTAGATGCATCATGTGTGCTTGAGACAACACCTGTGTTGCAGAGGTGTGCTCTTGTGAGGGATTCTATTTGGGGGTTAAATCATCCTGAGACTGCAGAAGTCATTAAAAGATGCATTTTCATTTGAATTTGGGGAAACCATTTGAACTATTCATTGTGTTGACCTATTTCAATTGCTTTTGTTTGAATTGTTCATTTCTCATTAGGAAGAGAAAGGTAGCTGGGGGAGGGGGGATCGCAGGCGAGAATTTCTTGGTGGGGAAGGGGCGCGGGGCGCCAGACGTTTCACCTAATCAAAAGGATCCCTGCCAGCGCTGAGAGGCGGCTCTGCACAGGTGTGATTGCCGCAGTGGCGACCGTCTTAAAGGGGTGACCTCCCAGTCGCATCTTTCCGCCCCCCACAGTGGTGCCCTGAGGCAGATGCTTGACCTGCCTATATGGTAGCGCCGGCCCTGCATAGGACACCCAATCAGAGACGTCCCGATGCCGGGTGACACCTGGAGCGGAGACTGGGTGACATCCTGCGCGTGAAGTTGCCACACGTGTGCGCAATTACATAATCTTATTGACGCCTGCCGGCGGCCATCTCGGTGATGGACGTCGGCAGAGGAGGGGACGTTCACCCGGCGGGATGAGGTATGCCACCGGGTCCCTCCTCTCTCCTGACACTGTCGGGCTCTTGGTCAATGACAGAGTGCCCCACTTTTTAGAGGGGATGACACCAAAATGACTCTCGGTCATTTTGGTGTCACCCCTCCAATGGTGGCACACCCCTTGTGACGCCACTGCACCCAATTTAGGTGAAATGGGCAACGGTCTTTCTATATATTCACTATTTGCTATCATATTTGTCAAACACTAGTACTGCCTCCTCACAGTTATGGCTACCGTAATATTCCAACAGATCTCAATAATTATATTTAGTGTCTATACAAACCTGAGTTTACATAGACCTGCATTTTCACTAATTATTGTTGACCTTTAATATTGATCCACTATGATTTATATATTTTTTTTAAACTGTGACTGCGATTCGAATTACATTTATACTTATATATATTTTTCATTTTATTCTTCTAGCCCTGATGAAGGGGGGGGGGCTGCGCTTGCCCCTGAAAAGTGTTGGCACTTTGATGCTTAATTGTTAGGAATAAAAACTAATTTGGACTCTTCTTTGTTTGGTGGCGTCTCAGTTTTTTTTGTTCTAATCGATTTCTCCAGGGCCCCATCCTGACCTCTGCGGGGTCCATGTAGGTGGAAGTGCAGCCACTACCAAGCAATTGAACCCCACAATAGAAACCCATATTGCAACCACAGGATGTTTACAATCAAAGATCACAGTGGTTCTCACTCTTTCTCGCATTAGTCTTACACTTATGGAGCATAATTTTATACTACTGTCATTATTTTGCTTCTATCAGTTTCATGTCGGCAGATACTTCAAGAGAAATGAAAGTTGTGAGTTTCTCTCCTCCCTTATGCTTGTAAACAAAACTAGGGCGTTCGCTGACATAGTCCACACAGGCATTTCCCTACTCACCCTGTCAACATGATAGCTGTTGCTAGCTCCAACTCCCTTGCTCTGTGTGGATTTGTCTTTGCAATATTTGTATTTCAGGCTGGATTTTTTATTTTCACTTATGTTCACTTCACAAATGAAATCAAACAGGTATGGTGCATTTCTTTTTTTGCAATCTCCTAATGTGTGCAAGGGTGAGTGAGCTGATTTCTGAAAGCTGTAACTGACAATTGTACTTGCTGGACAGACTGCATGCAAGTATTCACAGTCTATACACTGTACGGTATGCTCTGTCCACATTTCCAGCCTGCTAACTCTTTTCTAAGTAGATTTGTTTTCTTTTGCATTACAACTGCACTAAATCTTTGATTTTTCCTGTTTTCATTTTTTGTTAAACTTTACAATAAGTATACATTGCTCATAGCTAGTTTTGCAGTGTGCACAATACTCTAAATTTAAATGCATTACCTAAATTTGCAGACATGGATAGTTTACTATCTACATGCAAGAGCAGAACTGCAACGTATGCTGTAATTACCTTAATTCGCTGAGCAGTGACAACTTTTGAGGATTTGAACAGCAATGTTCTTTGTGTACATGATATTTCGGTCTTGAGTAACTGTTTGTGTCACATAATAGTTCACAGGGGACTCCCCACAAGGCTTCTCAGTTCCCCCAGTTGCTGCGGTCTTCAGAAAGCCAAAACCCAAAGCTTTCCCTTAAGGTGATCTCTCCTAGCAGGATAAATAGGTTAGCAGTGTCCAGATGAAAAATGTATACCTTTGGTGTGACACAGGGGGAATCCTTTCCACCGCAGTCTCCAAGAGAAAACAAAAAGCCAGAAGGTGGTCAACCCACTGTCCCCCACCCAAAAACTAAACAATGCAATTTGGGTGGTGCTGGGCAATAAATAAGTAGTCAACCAGATATCAATTCTGATTTTTATAAGCTGCCACAAATTACTGCTTATTGCATATAAAGTGTTTTATTAAAAAGTCTGTTCATGCATACAGTGTTGATCAAGTTGTGGATACCCCTAAATGCTATTGATGAGTGACCCACACAGCTGTTGATTTGTAACCCTTAGTTAAAGTACTTTTGGGCAAATAAAAACATAAAAGGTAGACTACCTGTGACACTCATTAATATATTATCATATTGTTGTGATTGTGCTAAAGTAGTCGTGTCAAGTTGAAGGTATGTGTTGCTTATTATAGTGCTGTATATGTGCTGCCCAGTAACTCAATGTTTGAAGATACCATAGCTTAAAAAATAACAAATATATATATGTACTCTATAAGCAAATACTAGAATGCAATGCATTAGATCAGTGCTAAAAATAAAGCTTGTTATTCACAAATTTGTTTGTGCGTGAATTGCGTTGTTTACCAAAATGACTCCAATTTTCAGGGTCATGAAACAGAGCCAGACAAATCACTGATACATTTCTGGCATGGCGCTCGGAAACTTGGAAAACAAGACTTGCTACTGGTCCTTTGTGACAGCAAATGTTATCAGTTTAGCACCACCTTCCAATTTTTTCCATGAAGTACCTTTTGACCTCTTCTTGCCATTGCTGGTACTCCATGATCACTAAAGGCTTGTTCACACTGCATTTTTGGGGGTGTCATGTAGGCTTTTGGCAAGTGGTTCTGATCTCTGCCAAGTGCTTTGCAAACACTGGGTCCTAAAATGTATACTGAGCTTATGGGCTCGCTAAGTTAACACTTTGCGTTTTGAGGAGAGATTGCTGTCTGCAGCGTTTTGACTACCTTTTGTTTTCTATGACTTCTTTTACATAGTGTGGCTATCCTAGCTCATGGCCCACATTCCGGAATGCACTGGCAGAGAGTATAGTAAACATGTATCGAGAACTATATGCCACTGAACTTTGAAAGGATCACCCTGATCAGCAACCTTCGCAATTTGCCCCCATCACCCACAGTTAACTAACTGTCTTAACAGTCCTTTCTGCCTGGGAGTGAAATGGGTTGATAAAGATGTGACAGGGTACAATGATAACTGATAATCCAGATCCTCTATTTATTGATCCTGGAACATGTTCATCATGAGCTACAGACAGTCACCAGGGGCAGAATAACTACAAATATATTGATAGAATTGTTATGATGCATGAACCCTGAAAGGGCACTTATGGCTTATCAATCTGTGACACAAAGGGGTTGATTTACTAAAGACAAATAGGCTGTTCACTTTGCATGGGTATATGCAAATTCCAGGGGAAGTTCCCCTTAGCTTAGTGAAGAAAAATCTTCCCCTGCAAAGCACAAATTCCCTTGCAAAGGGAACAGCCTATTTACCTTTAGTAAATCAACCTTTAAAATATGTCACCACAGAACAAGTGCAGATATGTATATGCAAACAAGAAAAAGTATTATCTTCTTTGTACTTTGCACACTAAAAACCTGCATAAGAAGTGTAACAATGTGATTATGAGGTTACTGGTACTTGCTATGGTCACATTTCACAAAACCGGTTTTGTAGCTGCTCATATAAATAGAAATGATCCATGGCATTTAGAGCAGAGCTTTACAATAAAGTTATACACAGAAACCATTGTGCTAAACTACAACTGCAAACAATGCAAATAAATAAAACACCTTTTTGAAAAATCTGACATTGTGCAATAGCCTTTGTACCCAGATCACTCAATGCATGGTATAGGAAGCCTGGTGGCACGAGTGATGATAGTTGCTTTCATTTCCTCTTTGGAGAATCCTAATAGTTTTGCAAGTTTCTTATAAAAGGATCTAGGAAAGCTGCTGGTGTTGCAAATGTCGCAACCTAAACTACACTGTGTTAAACTACTGTACATTGTATCAACATGTATCACTAAAGGACCAAAAAGAACATGCTTAGATACTTTGCGATAAGAAAATGAAGAGAGCAACTGCAATGTTTATGGTGAGGTAATCATTAACCTCCAGTAAGCAATCATAAACTGCAATCTTATTGCTTGTTATGGGTTACAACAGGTTGCAGTTTACAATTACATTTTGGATGACCTTGTTAAGTCAGATTGTGGCTAAAGCAGCATGCTAAAGCAATATATCAGCTTAGTTTAATTCTCCATCAAATGAGAGCCATTAAAAAATATATACTTATGGTAAAATGTTCTCTTGCGTGATAGGGACACAGCAGCTCCCCAGTGATTAATTGCAATTTAACAGATTTTCATAAGACAAGGAGGACATTACATGGAAGATTGCAAACGCCTGATTTTGCATATATTAGGGCCCTTACTTGTTACTGCAAGGAAGGGTCCAAAGTAAATGAGAAAGTTTTGTTTAGGTTGGAAAATCTTTTAAATCAATATGCATGGATATGCATTAATGTGTGTTAATAGAGGTAAACAATACAAATATTTACTTGTATTTGTACAATGTATATTCACTTTCTTGTATTTTTAGTCCTAAGGTATTTATGATGCAGACTGATAAAGGGGAAATAGCAATTGTGCATATTCCTAAACATTGTTAAATTATAGTTTTTTTTCCTGCAGGATAAGCCATCATGGAGACATCTGCATGCACCTCCTCTGCCTATCTGCAGTAGTAGTATATATGAATGCTCTAAGGCAAATGGCAAATCTCCTGAGTATCTCAAAAAACATGTTTTTATTTTTTTAGCATGCTTCCTTCTTCCTACTACTGTTTGATTCTTCCCCTGCAGCCATATCAGGAAATAAATGCACAATGCTATTATACTATTGTAACTCTATGGCTAAACCATCATTACATTTCTGTGTCTGGAAATTCCAACTCCAGCTCTAAATCAGGAAACCCTGAAAATAGTTCAAAGTACAAACAAATGTATGACACTTCAACCTGAAGATTAGATCTAACATATGCTTTTGTCTGAATCTAGGCATTAAGATGTCTTTGGAAAATCAGATCATAACTGAAAGTCAAACTATCATCTGGTGTTTATGGACAGCATTACGTTTATGCTTAAAAATAAAGCCAAAACTTCAAATCTTTTACCAACAGTTTCAAGGAAACGAAACATTTTATTTGGTATAAATCCAAATTCCAGTAAGGGTGTGCCCTAATCTCATCCTGCATAACTTGGTAAACATAGAAACTGAAAGCGACCTGAACATTTATCAGAACAATGGACTACAGTTTATTAGGTTTAATATATATTACTGTGCGGTATATCAAGTCATCAAGTCATATCAAGTCATCTGAAATAAATGGATTGCATCATTGCAATTAATTCTGGAAAATCTAATAACCAACAAATGGAGTGTACTTTATGTAAATAACTCACCACTGTTTGACCAAGTGATGCATCTAGATTCCATGTTAAAGTCACTCACTCCCAAGAACCACTAACATGTTTTGAGTTTCCACCATTGTATCTCTCCTCTTTTAATGAAAGCTGAGTATTCCTATTTTTTTTCCTTTTGTTTTACATTGCCCCTCCCTCACTGCCATTCTCGCATAGGCGAGAATAATGTGTCACTCTCCTACAGCAGCCTTGTGAGATACCAATGTCAGATATTGCAGAAAGCTGCAGGAGGAGGATCATTTGCCCTGTATAAAGACCCTATAATGCTATTGTAACTCTATGGCTAAACCATCATTACATTTCTGTGTCTGGAAATTCCAACTCCAGCTCTAAATCAGGAAACCCTGAAAATAGTTCAAAGTGCAAACAAACGTATTACACTTCGACCTGAAGATTAGATCTTAAAACAGAAAATCCCATGAGAGAAAAAACCTTCAGGCATAGAAAAGTATCAACTTAAGCTCACTTCCAGGTTGTGAAAGGGAAGGTGCTATGTCAATTACCTTCCAGCCATGGGCAAATCTTTTAATAAAAGAGGTTTTGTCAATAACATGCAGAAAGAAAGGCATGTTTGCCCTGGATTAGGTTTATCTGTTTCTATGGTTCTGGTGCCCGACTCCCCAGGACATGGAAATGTTAGACAGTGTGTGAAAATGTAAATGTGCCCAAGGACAAAGATGAAAGGCACCACAGTGTTGCGGCACCCTGGTTGAGCATGGCTGGACTGGTGAAAGATAAGTCCTGACTGGTTAATATTGGTTAATTTACTTTGCATATAATTATTTATTATGTCTAATAGGGCATAACAATAACAGAGTGCTTTACTAAACTTAAACGATTGGATTTATTTTACAGGTGCTGTAACAATTATTATTTTGTTGTAACGATATTGCATGTCATATTCCTCAACATTGGATAATGCATAGCTGCACTTTTTAACTGTTCCAATTACGCATGCAATGTAAATTATTGGAGCCCTATTGACAAATTAACCTGAAAATGTACCTGAAAAATACACGTTTTGTAATAAAATATTAAGCTTTAAGGTAAATGACAGCCATTGTGTTTGTGATGAATGCAAATCTCTGCCCTCTCGTCTCTCTGAAAGGAACTAATCATTTTTATTGTTATAAGCAGACTTTCAGTCCTGTTTTATTTATATACCAGGTTACCTTTGACTTGCAGGCAGTTCCCCACATGAAAACATATTCTTTCCTTCCCATACAATAGTGCTGGCCAGCAACGCCTGACTCTGCAAAACTCATTACAGTTCCTTTTATGAGTCAGTGTTGTGGGAAGGTTCCCCAGACATGATTCTTTATTTTATGTTTTTTTTTATTATCTGTTTTTCTCAGTGTTTATTATTATACCACTTGTATTGTACAGTGCCAAGCAAAATAATGGTGCTATATGTATTGGTAGAAAATGATAATGAAAGGAATATTGCAAACATTTGCATTTTAGATGCAGGACGTTTAAAGGTTTCATTATAATCTTGATAAACAAATTATTTATATTAGGAATGTATTCACAGTGCCATAGCCTCAAATCACGAAGCCAATGCCTCTTAAGGATCTTTATTTTCAGAAATGACAGGTATTTTCTGCTGAGAACCATTAAGATTAGAAAATTACATCACATGACTGAAAATAAAGATCCTCATCTTTGTGTTAAAGCTTCTTTAATTGAGCTTCATGCAAACAAGACTAAGGCCTCATTCACATTGTCAGCAACGGGAAGGTAAAAACAGGTGGCTGAACCACGTTTTTATGGTCCCTCCTCCTGAGCGCCCAGGTATACATAGTTGTGTCTGTGACTCTTTGCAGCAAATATTTTACAGCATGTCAGCGCTGCCTGCCTAACAGGTTCACTGAAGTCAATGGGACCACACCGTAACCATCTGCTGGCTGCAGCATGATATTTCAATGTAAAATCTCTCTTGGGATGGAAAAACCCCCCCAGCAATTAAAGAGTGTTATCACCTCCTGAACTCCTTTGAGCCTTCTGAACTCCTGTGAACTAGCATGTAAACGAAGCTTAAAGCAAACCTGTCATGAGATAAGTATGGAAGCTGCCAATGCTGACCCTTCCTTGTGAAAATGTTAGCTGCCTGGTTGACATGATAACCTTTTTCCAGTATTTTGAGTCCCTGACTCAAATACAGGCTTCTGACTTGTCTCTGAGTTTCCTGATCTGCATACTCTTTCCAGGTCAGTGGTTCAGAAAGTACTTAAGCCAGAAGGGTGGCATGATAGTCAGTCAGCATGGCAATCCCCATCTTTCTTTTGTGATTGTTTACTTGTAATAAAGTTCATCCCACATATTTTTTAGCAAAAGGAAACATGACAAAGTGATATCAGGAACTCCTCATGAATCAGGAAGGTACATGATTAGTATTAGTTGTTGGTAACATAGCTATTTCGCTTCATCTAGAGGCATGGGGGGGGGGATTAATAAAAAGTGTATGAGACAAGTTCCAGCTCAACTGGTGCTGCTGCCCATAGCAACCAATTAGCTTCTATCTTTCATTTTTTCCCCACACAGCTTAGAAAATGAAAACCTGAAAGCCAATTGGCTGTGCTCCAGTTCAGACAAAATTTGTCTAACACAATTTTTATTAATTCCCCACATTATTCTTTCTCACTTTTGAGTTAGTCTGTGCATATTAAATAGTGCGTAATAAATAAAGCAGTACAAGGGTCAACTGCAGTAACCCATAACAACCAAATCATTTTGTACTTTTTCCAGGATGTGTGTTATGCTAATCACCTTTGTCAGCCAGAGGCTTTTACGTACCACGTTATTGAACCATATTGCATGCTGTGAATTGTGCTCCCCCAGGGAAATAAAAATCTTCCAATTTTGTTTTCCCAGATTCATGAAAGCTACGTCCGAAATATTGCCTGTTTCATAGAAGAAGATCTTGAAAATGTCCTTCAACCTCTGGATAGCAAAGATCTTGACAGAAATAATCCCTGCTGGGCAGTAAGGACTCAGCTAAAAGTTTTAATGAGAAAGGTAATGAACTGTGCTTTAAGGGTAGTACGGGGTATTACTATTGTTATTATTACTAGCATAAGTGTCTGTTTGGGCACAGATGTGTCCAGGACAATGAATGCAGTCTGTGTTCTGGTGAATATGAAGTTGCATTCACATCTCTGTATTTTTGTGCATTGCATGTGTAGTACATTACAAATAATGATGCTTGCTGCATCTTTGCTGCAGTTTCCCCACTCCTTATGGGTGTGGATTGTAACTTGTGTAAACTGAAACTGCACCCCATAAAAATGCAGAGGTGTGAATGTAGCCTGAGAGGGACAGCACATATTGCAAATATATATATGATACAGTGGAGTGGAAGTATGGGAAAGTATGGAGTGTATAGCAGCAGTATGTTCCAACTGAAAATGAGCAGAGTACAGAAAGTTACAGGTCGGTACGCAGAATGAAGTAGTGTGTAGTAGAGAACATGTCATCTCTAAAGCAAAACCTTTAGTGTGATAATAATATTCTCAGACAAAATTGCCATAGGATGCCGGGTCTGTCTATGGGAAGAAGGGAAATAAAACAGTGGGTGTGACAAATGTTAGAGAGCCATGATAAGTAAGTGACATGTAGGTGAGGAGGCAGATTTCCTGATGAGTTGTCACTCACTGCCTTCTCCACAGGCCTCAATAGCATACCTATCCTACAGCTTGCAACTCCAGGGCACTTCATACCAGGCCTGATTCCGAAACTTTAGTAAACCTTGTATTACCTCTGGGTCTCCACTCCCCAGAGTCCCCACCCATACCTCTTACTTATCCTACACCCAATAGACCTGTTTGGCATTGCGGCTATGCCAGATACACACCTCAAAGCTGTGGAACTAAGGCTAAGGGGGGGTCTATTCACAAAAGGGTGAAGAGTTTGGAGAATTGAACCATCTAGGACAACATAGCTGAACTGGAAAGTGAGCTGAATTGGAGAATTTTTCCAAATCGGCTATTTTGTCCTGGATTGCTCACTTCTCCTGCCTTCTCCAAACTCTCTCTCCCTTTAGTGAATAGACCTGTAACTATTCCAAGCTTTTGGGTCCTATACAAATTTAGGGGTCTATTCACTAAACTGCCGAAGGATCTAGCCATAGCTTCGGCTGATCCTTCGGCTAGCTTCGGCCCTACAAGCCTGAAGTGAATAGCCGAACAGCTTTCGGCTCACTTCACTTCGTGTCGGTTATTCACTCGGCTGCCTACGGCAGCTTTGTGAATAGACCCCTTAGTGCCTGTAAACCATTCTCCAAGCCACCTCAACAGGAATTTCTATCATCAAAGCCAAAGCATCTGCCTATTATATATAAGAACTGCAAATTGTTTGAGGTTTTACAGGCTCTGGTTCTCCAGTGCTCTAAGACTGCACTCACCTTTAAATTTTAAAACATGCACTGAATTGTGTTAAAATGCTCATGTATAAAACGCATGCAAAGCCCATTCAGATACCTCTGGACACATAAGTACATCAGATGTACATTAACAAGCATCAAGACATGCATTAAAACACTCTTTTAACTCAAAAGTGTGAATCCAAGCTAATAGTATGGAGGAGGACAACCCAGAGGGTAATACTGTATAATGGGAAATAGGAAAATCTGACATATGATGTGCATAAGCATTCTAATGTAAGAGCCCAGAAGTGCCACATGCAAGCCAATAAATATTACCCTTCTTTCTCATAATGTCACTGTAAAGCCTAACTATCCAAGTTCTAATAACATAATACATATGATGAGGCATGTTGGCATAAAGCAGAAGCTTGTCAGTATAATTCTAACATTATTTATTACTCTAAGAAATGCTTTATAATGCTAACTTATTACATGAAAAATGTTTATATGTATGGATCATTCTTTACAGATAATGTTGGGCACATATGGACCAGATATATCAGCAATAATTAATGGTATGTATTAATTGAATTTAATATTGTTAGTTTACAGCATTTCTTAAAGCTGATAGGCTGGAAGCAAGTTAGCTTAATTTATTCTAACTGATAAAGTAAGATATTAGTCACAGATGAAGCTATTATAAATAGATTGAAGATTCCAAAATGGAACAAAATATATATATGTGCATATTTTTTCTCATCTAGAAAAGGTTTCCGAAATGATTCCAGTTGCCGTTGCTGAGAAGCAAACAAGTCCAAAGCAACCCTTTGCTGCCCACTTGAAAGGAAATGGGAAAGCTCAACTCCAGCAAGAAAGTAAGATGCTTTGTGTTACAGTATTTTTATTAATTGTGTTTTCAAGCAGGGAAGAAACAACAATTCAAGTACACAGTAGGCAGTGAAGAGTCTCTTTGGTACAAGAATACAAAAAAAGATATAGCACAACATGCAGTACACAGTGAAGTGGTATTAGTAGTTTTAGTTCCACTGTAACAGAAAGTAAGAAGCTTTCAGAACGTAACATTTATTATGGTACATGTTTTGTGTGTGCGGTAGAGTGATTTTTGGGCTAATGTTTTAATTTGTTTTAAGAAGCATTGAAAGAAGACCCTAAACTTTTTACACATTGACACCCTGCTGATGCCCCCGTTTGGCACAACCAGTGCTGACAGCCCCTGCTTAAAATATTAACCCAATGTGTAGTGTCTGCTGTGTACACAGCCACTGCTCAACACAGGGTAATGCGTGTGGATAATACTGCTGTGTTACATTTTGTAATGGCTACTACTACATAATAAAGAGGACCTTTGAAGACTCAGTAGGCCGGCTAATGTTTACTGTTTGAATGTATTTCTTTGTTTTTCTATATATTATCCACAAGCTAGGATTTGGATGCTAGATCATTATCCACTTTGTGCCTTTTTTATTGCAATTGATTTAAAGCTTCTTTATTTTCCCTGATGGCACATTCACACAAAAAAATATAACATCAGAATGTATACAGAAAATAACCTGCAGTGTATTCCCAACATGTAGTGAATCCTGGCAATCTCCAGCTGAAATGTCTTCTCTAGTTTTGGGTATTGTGAGGAATGGTCTGAACCTCTGTCAGGTTTTTGTCTGTTTGGGAGATTTACTCTCACTTTCTGTCTCGCTAACCACTGTCACAGGCAAGTGACAGAAAGTGATGGGAACATTTTACAGTTGTCATAAACATAGGAGTAGCATAGAAATGTCCCAAGAGTTTTCCAAAAACATTCAAATGATGTATATTTGTCTTCTCATCAGGTCATATAAATAAACCCTATGAAGGATATAAAATAACGGAATGGTGGTCTGAAAAAAAATCATCAGGTTTAAGTAGTGAAATCAAGTTGGAAAATGGAGAGCTGGTCATTCCAGAAAACGGCTTCTACTACATCTATGCCCAGACATACTTCCGTTACAAGGACCCAGAGGAGGGGAAAAGTAAACAACTAGTGCAATTTATTTACAGAAGAACAAACTACCCCTCTCCTTTAGCTCTGATGAAAAACGTGAAGACAACCTGCTGGGCCAAAAATGCACAGCACGAACTTCACTCCATCTACCAAGGAGGTGTTTTTAAATTAAATAAGAATGACCGAATTTTCGTGTCCGCAAGTAATGTAAGTATGGTAGACATGGATGCAGCAGGAACCTTTTTTGGAGCATTCCAGATATTCTAAAAAGCAAGGGATTATGGGAGCACTGGAAAGTTTATGAACATTTGAAAAGTCGATAAAAGGAAACCTGTCATAAAAGAAATTCAAGAGCATCTATTGCTGACCTCCTGAAATTCCAGCTAGTGGTGGTTAGTTATATTCAAGTGAACTTGTTATGCAACGTTGAAGGACTCAATAGAGGCCAAAAACATGAGTAGCAAAACACCCCTCGCTATTACTGAACAAGTCCAGTCGAGTTTAACTAACTACTTCCAGCTATATTATGATCTGGATAACTGATAACCTTCAGAGTCATTTGGAAATGTTTGTATTTTCCAAATTAAAAATGGCTCACCTTTTCCACAGCAGATCAGCAATGGCAGCCTCCATAATCTTCTCATGACTGGTTTCCTTTAAGAATCTGAGCCACATATATGGTTCTTAATATGTGCTGAAAGTGGAAGTTGGTCATTGGCAGACCTATCATGCTTAAAGCATATTTTCCAAGGTAAAGCACAATGTAAAATGAACAACAACACATTGCAAACAATTTGAACTTCTATTTAGAGATGTCTGACTGCAGCTATCTAACATTTGATTGCTTTCTTTGGAGAATTGGACTTTGGATAGACCCATTTTTCTGACACCATCCTACTAAATGCATCTTTTAAAAAGGGCAACCAATCTATACTCCTCTCCTGCATTGTCATACTTCATGGCATGTAAAAACACTTTACCCCACATGACTTCTCACCCTGAAACTTGTAGCATCTCTCTTCCATGTAAGAAAATACTTTTTATTATTTTTTTAAAGGATTCCTGTGAAAACTATCTACGACCATTCTACTGAGAAAATTCAGGGATACAGATGTCTGGGCAATTGTTTTCATGCCTGTGTATAAGAAAATATATTTTTTGTTATTAATTTTTGATATAGTTGACAGTGGTATTATCAATACCAACATATTGTTCATGGCAAGATAATTTGCTTTTACCTGTACCACTGTGAAACATTCAGAAGTGTCAAAATCTTCTACTGTTTTAAATACTGTACTAGGAAGTCAACTTCCAAGCATTGAAAAACAGACTAAATTCATTCAGGGAAACATTTTTGATGGATCTTACCATGATCAAAATCAACACAAAGCCAAAGGTTTTAGAATATTATTAAGTGAGCTACTTATTAAAAAAACTGGAAAAAAAATCAGAAACAAAAGTGGGATTGTTGCCTATAGTAACAAATCAGATGCCTCATACTGGCCTTTTGTAGTGTTTTAAACACACATACACACACATATATATATATACAGTATATA